AATTTACCTTCCCGAGGCATAGGCATAATGCAACCCTTTGCAACTCTCCACCAGAGAGATTCAGAACTTCTTGATCCATTAATTGTTCAATAAGAAGAGGCTTCATCACATCTGACATGAATTGGGGATGAGTATATGAATCACGAATTTTTGAATGTAACAAGGCTCTGACAGTGGATGGAAACTTTGGACTGATTTTCTGGGGCTTGTAAGAAACATTGAATTCAGGTATCTCCACATCGGAATCTTCAACAGAATCAGGTTTCAATAGACCAGCCTGAAAATTGGGCAATATGCGAACTCAACATCTGAAGCTGCAAAGTAACTATGACTGAAGAAAAGAAGATAAAAAATAAAGAATACCAGCATACGGATGAATGTTGTCTTCCCTGTTCCATTCTCTCCCAGCATTACAATAATCTGAGAATCAGTAAATTCACCTTCAACCGCACGAAGCCTGAAGTTTCCCTGAGTTTTAGTCATTGATGGGTATTTATATCGTGCATATGTCTCAATTTCCTCAGCACTTTCCTGTGGAGTCTCAGCAACCTGGTAAAGACAACGAAGTAAATCACAAAGCAATAATAAGTCAAGGGAGTCTTTCTTTTTTCCCAGTTACAAGTCAAAAGAGCATTTCACTGATAAAATTTATAATCGTGCCTTGAAGGTCAGAGATTCATCCCGGAACCTAAGATTTTCTGTAGGAACAAATCCAGCCAAGAAGATGTTGATTCCTTCTCTAACTGAGAAAGGAAGAGTTACAACTCCATATGCACCCGGTTTCCCATATAAACAGCAAATGAAGTCTGATAAGTAATCCAAGACACTAAGATCATGCTCCACAACAATTACATAGCTGGAAAATATAAGAAAATATGACTATTAGCTAAATATGCAGTAAGACAATCAAGAAATGGAATCCAAAAAAACCATGCAATTCAATTTTGAGAAAATAAGAGAAAATAAAAAATTAAACCTATTAGGCCTGAGTAAAGATCGGACAACTTGGGCAGCTTTAAGCCTTTGTTTGACATCAAGATAACTTGAAGGTTCGTCAAACATATATATCTCTGCATGCTGTATGGCAACGACAGCAATGGCGAATCTTTGAAGCTCCCCACCAGATAAATCCCCTACCTTACGCTCTATAACCTGGTTCAGCTCAAGGTCAGCACATAATTTTTCCTTCATATCCCTCTCATCCTTCTGACTGAGCACCTCCCCAACATTCCCTTGAACTGCTTTTGGAATGTGATCAACATACTGAGGCTTTATAATGGCCTGTTAAGTAAAAAGAATATTATGCAAATTAGCAAGAACAAATATAATATAAGACAATATAATGATTAGAGACAACAAAAGATGGCCAAAATATACCCACGATAGAACACACAAAATTATATTCATTTAAATGCTAAACTTTTAGTACGAAAGATTATGGGCATCAAAATTAAATGGTACCTTCAAATTATCTTCCAGGATACGGGTAAAAAAATTCTGCAACTCAGATCCTCGAAAGTAGGTCAAGATTTCCTGCCAATCTGGAGGATTCTGCAAAAATAAAAAATAAAAAACCATCAAGATAAGATAATCGAAGAATGCACCAAACATATTTGAAACATAATGAACTTGTCAAAGAAGGGGAATTTCTGTAAGGAGTCTTACTTTGAAACGACCTAAATTTGGTTTCAACTTTCCACCCAAAACTTTGAGGGCAGTTGACTTCCCAATGCCATTCGTTCCAACCAAACCAAGAACTTGACCTGGCCTTGGGACTGGTAACCTGAGATTGCAAAATTTATGTTATCCCAAACCACATAAATGCAAAAGCGATCACTTCCCGGTAATGTCATGAGGAGCTAACCTGTGTAGCTTGAAAGTGTTAGGCCCATAGCGATGGGTTGTATCTTTGTCTAAATCCTTTGGCAAGTTAATGATTTGGATTGCTTCAAATGGGCATTTCTGCATCATCAGATGGTATAGAGTCCAATAATGCCTTTAAAACACAACTATTGCAGATAAACAGGCAAATGACAATAACAGCACTTCTTACACACCTTCACACAAATACCACATCCAATGCACAATTCTTCTGAGATGAAAGCAATCTTGGATGCAGGGGTAACCTCGACACATAGTTTACCTGCATATAGACTGATTAGTAGTGTGTATGTTTGTAGCACTATAGGAAAACAACATAAATATATCACATAAAGACAAAGATAATAAAAAAGCAGCTCATTTACAGAAAAGCAAACACAGTTGCTATGATAATGCATAACAGGAACTTGCCAACAGAAACATTAAATCTATTTGAAGCCACCTCATTATATGCAAGAGCTCATGCCTGTACTTTTAGTAACCTTCAATAGAAGCTTTCCTTGATTTTATAAACCAATAATCTCTTTTTATGGCAAGCTTTGAGCATAATTAAATTTCTGAGTGTTTCTCCTTGCAGGAGGTATTCATTACCTTTATCTCCTTTTATTTACACAACATAATCATCGAGTCATTCTCCTGTCACAAGTAGCTTCCACGACCATTTGAACACAAATAATACGTTTCAAGATAAATACCAATTTGCATGATAAAAAAACAGCTGACAAATCCAAGTTATCAAGAACCGTGCATCACAGAAACCATATAGAAATATAATAGCAAGATCACAATTCACTTTTGTTTTCGACAAAACCAAACAAACCATTATCTGAGTAATCTAATGAGTCCTGATACTTATTTCTTTTATGAAGAGCGACAGACATGCATACACATATTATTACATAACACTAATGGAAATTATATAAGTAAGAAGTGGTTACTGTAACATACCAGTGATGACAACAGGGCAGCTCCTCTTGCATTCCTGGCGGCACTTCTTGGGTTTGCATCTGTCCGAGCTCACTATAGCTATACGGGTCAAACGGTCTGTCATCTCCTAATCTTCTTCTGTCCATCCACAGATCAAATTAAGCAAAGGATCAAATGCACACAGACTGAGCAAGAATCAAACTACTGGTGTTGATGGGATGAAAAATATTTAAAATTGGGCAAAACTAAATCCAGAGCAAGCTGGCTAGTTTGATAATTTTGCAATCCAATCCAACCTATTATCCGCACCCAAAGCTGAGAAGCAACCCAACAGCTCAAACCATTCGCCTGAATATGTCTACCGGTATAAAAATAAAAAATAAAAAACCATCCCCAACAGCATGAATTTCAACATTACTAAAAACCCAATCCCTAATTTCACCAAAATCCCCTGTAATCACAAATTCACAATCACGTCCCCTCCTTTAATATTAAAAAAAAAAAAACCCCCAAATATCACAATCAAAAGATGATTCTTTTAAGCTCAAAAGCAGATTCTTTTGCTCAAATCTCAATCGCAAGCTAAAGAAATACCTGTTTGACAATAGATGAGAAAATGGAGGAGAAACTTGAGTCGGATCAGCTGGCGGCTGCAAGCAGAGAAGGGGTGGAAAATACACTGAACAGTTACGGAGAACAACGACGGGCATCAAAATGCAGTGGCGGTGGAGGCTGAGACTGAAAAATGGAAGCTAAGAAAGGGAGAGGATAGAGGGTGGGCGACCGTTTAGCGTAGGGAGGGGCAGATGTGGAAATTGTGCGATAGTTAGACAAGGGACGGAAGGGAAAATTTTTAGGTGTACCGGGTACACCAAATTTTTTTGGTGTACCCTCACTCATTAGGATTTTTTTGGTGTACAAAAAGTGAGGGTGCACCAAATTTTTTTGGTGTACCCTCACCATTATGAGTGAGGGTACACCAAATTTTTTTGGTGTACCGGGTACACCGAAAAATTACTCGGGACGGAAGGGCCTCTCTGTTCTCCTCACACACCCAGAACTTTTGCCTTTCCGATTAATACCCTCATGAAGTTACTTAAATTCTCAATTGTAACCCTAACACACTCATATCACCAACCGTCATCTCAAAATCATACCATATGGTCATGCCTTACTTTTATTTACATTCATTGAAGAGCACAATGCCAAGGGACTATTTTAAAATGAGACTTTTCAGCCACTTAGTACTACGGTCTAATGATATTCTTTTTTACTTGTAAATGAGAGGTCTTAAGTTCGATTCTCGTCGAAGACGAATTTGAATCACATCATTGTTAGCCCATTGTGAGCTCTGTGCTAAGTTTAACGTCAATTCTTATGTCAATATTATAAAACGTTGTGCAAAAAATTAGTTTAGTATAAGAATAATCTTCTAGGATGATCATCATTAACGTTGTCATTTTACATTTTTATTCATTACAAAATTAGTTTTCAAGCTGATTGGAATTTTGTTTCATTATTAAATTATTTACTTGCAAAAACTATGAATAAGCAGAAATAATTAAAGGCAAAAATTGATACGACGGTTACGACACGCTCATTTGCAGTGATACTTTGTATATTAAGAGATTATACGAATGAGACCTGACTATTTAGCTAGTCAGGCTATTTACCCAAGTTTCTCTCTATTGTATAGCCATTGGGCTTTCATCTTAATTTGCTAAAAGCTCAAGGAGAGGTTAATCGAATACACAGTGGAGTTATAATTCTAATAGTTAAGTTTGTTTAACCTTGTATTTGAATTATTGTGTTGATTCTCCTTCTCTAAAATTGCTTGTATAAAAACGCACAATAGCTTAGGTTTGTGGGACTTTTTATAGGAGTCAATGCCACAACATAAAAGCTTTGAGATTTTATTTTAAAACAGATATTAAAGTTAATAGAAATAATTGAAATAATGTAGACTTTGAGTGAAAAATAAATGGTAAATCCTACACCCTAACAATTCATATGGAAATCTTAAAAAATAATGAATTTATGCCTTCCCTTGCCTTCAATCAAATCCATCCCTAAATTTTTGAAAGTTTGACAAAAGAAAGTAGCCGTTATTTTTTTTTTTTCCAATATTAGACAAATTTACCACCCTAAGCCTTCGTGATTGAATTCGAAATATTCAAACGGATCTATGAACACCTAATATATATTGGAAACAAAATCACTCAGAAATATGTGATTTCCTCGAAAATTTGAGAAGCAAAATCTTTTGGTTAGATTGTAAAGAATCTGTGGTAATATCTAAATATGATTTCCAATAATCCAACGAGATGTGCAGCTTGCAGGTTTTTGAGAAGAAGATGCCCTCAAGATTGTGTTTTGGCCCCCTATTTTCCCTCCTCCAATCCAGAGAGATTTGCTTGTGTTCATAAGATCTTTGGTGCCGGCAACATTACCAAAATGTTAGAGGTAAACAATTAATTAAGATATTGCTCATCATTAATTAAGTAGCATTTGTCCTAAACTGCGGCGAGGTTGGGATTTGAACTCGGATGCATGAGGAGAGAACATCTGCTCTAGCCAATGCCGCTACACTCATGCATGTTCATCACGCGGAGGAAGACTTTCTTATGGCCAATTGCATAAAACCTTCTTTTTTTATCAGTGGAATAAGGGAAATTCGCACTAGGGACCTTTCTAAACATGTATACGAGAAATGTATACATGTATTTTCCTCACTACCTTAACTCCAATGTTTTGTCGAAAATATAGAAATAATTGATATACTTGTTCTTATTTTTGGGATATACGAGTGTACCGAATTTGTTATAATCATAAATAATCGTCGAATTGTATTGTGAATGCAGCAACTTCCAGTCCATTTAAGAGAAGCAGCAGCAGACTCCATGTTTTACGAGGCATCGTTACGCGTTGAAGACCCAGTTTATGGATGTGTTAGAATTATTTCTCAGCTGCAACACCATATATTGGAGGTTCAATCCGAGATACTCAAGACAAACGGTCAAATAGCATCCTACATTGCACAACAGCAACTGCAGCAGCAGCAGCAAAATGTTGTTGATGGTGCAAGTTACCAGCAAGACATGCAGATCAGTGAATATTTGGGGGTTGGCTCGGACGTGCAAACTTTAGCAAATGACTCTTACTTTCATCCATAAAGATGGGCAAATCTTTACAGACTTGGGCTATGCCAGTTAGCGAGGGTAGTGTGCCAACCACTTGCATTTAAGTTCAAATTCTTCTCCCTATGGATTAGGATAGCATAGAATTTCATTTTTGTTAGAACAAATGGATGAGCTTATTTTGTTTAGTCCAATGATTGATAAAATTTGTTTTAGATAAATAAAGAATTTTATTATTATAATTTTATTTTTCCAAACGAATGACGAATTTTATTAAATTTGAATAAAAACGTTTACATTAGATCCCGAGGTATTACTGATACATAATGCGAAGGTGAGATTAGGAGTAAAATAGTTTATACTAACTAATCACTCTCAAAATATTTGATCCACAATTTCTTTTATTAAATATGAGCATATTTTCTCTATTAATTCGTTTTCAAAATCACGAAAGCAAGCGCACAATATTGGTCAAGAAGATTTGAAAATTGTTGAGATTAGTCTTCTAATCGTGTTTATTAACGATGAACTAATTGGATTTAAAACAAAAATACTATCTTCAGTTGAAATGTTGAATGGTAATTTCTTCTGAGTGCAAATGCAATTTCCAAAGAGTAAGATTTTGAAGTGAAAATTCGAAAAAAATTACTCCAAACTTGGACAGTAACAGCTTTCTATTTACACTATGCTAATAAATTACACAGCAATTTACTACTTGGATATACAAATCTGCGACGAGTAAACTGTTACACAGAAAAGCTATAGAAAATAGTGGTAAAGAAGGACATGCCATACTATTACCATCCATATACGCCGGAATAAAGATTTTCAGGTGAAAACAGAATGATAGATCGCTATTCTCGTGTGCCCTGAGAAACGAGGAGGGGGAAAAACCAAAAAGGGCATACCCACGAGAAGGATTTAAGCCGTCTTTGGCCAAATGCATATCCTCCTAGTTTGACAGATCAATAGAGCTGCGTTCTGAGAACGAGAATCATCAATTTCCTCATTTATTTCTCATAGTAAGAAGAAACTCGGATGACTAGTGTGATCTTCCAAAGGTGTTCTGAAAATTGATGGTTTGATAGCATGTACATGTACAGAACATAACTAGGGAGATGAGCATTAGGTATTACGATTACGAGAATTTCTGCACCGCTGAATAGGGCGACTGAAGTAGTGGGAAAACGGAGTCTTTGGGACCGGAATTAGTTTTCCAATAACAGCAAGAGGCCAACTATCGGAAAATAAAGGCAGTTAAGTTACTAAGATTTCTAAACAAAAATAACTGGCATGTTTTATTAAACGTTAGCCAAACTTTAGCCAGTCAGAAAAACATAAGCATTGTTCAAGTTAACTTACCTGACAATGGCAATTCCCAAGCATATGAGCCATTGCTGCCATGATAGCCTCACTGTTTTTGTAAATTTTCCGAGGAACATAACGATGATTATCTGAAAATGGAGTTAAACTCAGTAATTGTATATAGGAAGAACCTGAAACCATAATATAAATGCAGTGCCCTCTCACCTGAAGTACCAATGTAATTCCTATTATTCCCATGAAGAGGTAGTTTTTGGTCACTCCGCGGAACACATTTATTTCTTCAGGTTTTCGAGCATTGAACTCATTGAAAATCTGTTGAAAGTCAAGATAGGCGTTAGAACAAATAATAAATCCAGCTTAACTAAACAACTGAAACGACTCCTAATCGTAATATCACATATACCATTTTTAAGTCCTACACTTACTTGGCAAAAGACGAATGCATTGAATATGAGAGTATTCTTCACACCAATGGCATGCTTTTGGTCATCCTGCTGCAGACCAAGAATGCGATTTCCCATAAAGTTGAGGACAAGGAGGACGGTAACTTGATACATAGCCTGTGCCAAGTAAAAATGATGAAATTAGAGAACAGAGTCATACAATGTTAATATATGATGCTTCAACTGCGATGTTAGTAAAAGTGCAAAACGATAATCCAACAGAGAGGAGGTACCTGAACGAGTAAGTTCCTCCACATGATGTTCGTTATAAGAGGTGCCCTAAGAAACAAATATCAGATTATTACTTCACTTCGACAAAATCTAGAATACGAAAAAATTTAACTTTGAATAGTATCCAATTCAGGTTGTTAAGAGCATTGCTAGCTAATGACACTATCTCACACCTTCGGCCAACTGGTGTTCTCTGCATAAGGTTGTCTGTAGGTGGTTCGGTAGCCAATGCAAGTGCTCCTAGAGTATCCATGATCAAGTTAACCCACAGAAGCTGTACGAAGAACACGAAATAAATATTAGAACCACAATGTACAAAGGAAGATGACAGAAAAGAAATATGCCGTAAAACTCTTTCACTCATTTTTGTTCTGGCTTCATATTCCAAATTGTGAGAGAGAGAGAGAGAGAGAGAGAGAGAGAGAGAGAGAGACCTGTACTGCATTTAACGGAACACTACCAGAAGAGATTGCGGCCACAACATTAATTACAAGAGCGGCAACATTAACAGTAAGTTGAAATTGGATAAATTTCTGAATATTTGCATACACAGAACGTCCCCAGCGAACAACCTACATAATGTACAGAGAGACATTCAGAATAGACAAAAATCACCACCCTAACCTCATTATTGTTTTACATTAAGTAGACTTACCTTTACAACAGAGGCAAAATTGTCATCCAAGATAACGATATCCGAACTTTCTTTTGCAACTTCAGTTCCTTGAATGCCCATAGAAAGACCAATATCTGCCTAAAATACAAAATGGTAAGATCTGATCAACTATAACAGGAAAAAAACATGACCTACAAGAAGGGATGTTATCAAGGGGAGAATTTTGCTAAAAGGACTGGTTATCAGGAAGTTTAAAACTAAGAAGACATGAAATCGCCAACCACATGAACTTATTAAATTCACAAAGATGACAAACCTCATGAAGTGCCGGAGCATCATTAGTGCCATCTCCTGTTACCGCAACAACTTCACCCCCCTTACGTAATGCTTGCACAAGCAACAACTTGTCATTAGGGGAAGATCTGCCCATTACCTATGCAACACCGTAATAAAAAGTTCATTACCATTAGGTACAATCCGAGACATGCAATCTAGAAATAACAGAATTAGCAAGAGAAACAGACTGAAGATTTAAAGCTCAATACATATTATAAAAATTTCCATAATGCAGGAACCATACTGTTATTTTCTTGGCAGTTTGTTCCCTTTCCCTTTCAGACAATTCACGGAATGTTTTTCCTTCGATTATAGTAGGCTCAGTTGCATCTTTGAGTGAAGCTAGTATTCCACACTCTAACGCGATGGCTTTTGCTGTTTGAAGATTGTCTCCAGTGACCATGCGTACCTACAGGTTCACAAAAACGAGATTCATCAGGTCATTTTCCAGACTTGAGAACCATAATATAAAATTTTTTATCATGTAAATAAGTATACATCATTATGTTTGCAGAAGTGTAACATAAATCAAGATGTTATAAAATCAATGAGGAAAGTTACCTTAACACCAGCTTCAGTGCATAGTTTCACTGCATCTTTGACACCAGGGCGACAAGGATCCTACTCACCAACATACATATAACATATTAGCTAGGAAGAAAATACTTTATATCAAAAGCAAGGCCTAAGAAAATGGTACTGTCATGCCATAGGCCATCAAACAGATACGCAACAGTTGCTCTAAATAAATAACTGGAATAGTTGGGAATTTATTTTGTCCATGTGTGTGCAGATGAGAAATTAAACGGCAAGAAAAATAATTCAGTATCATGAGACTTGTTCTTGGACGCACCTTTATACCAACAATAGCAAGCAGGACAAGGTCATCTTCTGGTAAAGCCCATTGACTTAATTGCTCTTCATCAGTAGGAACTTTGTCCAATTCATATGGTCTGTATGCAATGGCAACACACCGCAAACTGCGTTCTGCCATGTCATCAATAGCCGTCTTGAAAAACTCCTGCAAAAGATATAACAAGATATCATAACCAAATTTCACAGGATAATGTCAAGAGACAAAAATATTTCTCATTTTTCTAAGAGAAACCTATGTATCCAATCAATGATACTAAGGGCCCATTGGGATTGAAGGAAAAATATATAGAAATTTCACATGTACATTTTACTATTCAAGAAGAGGTGTAGTTATTGGCATAGTGCTATCTTGCAATCCTCACTGTACAATTTTTTCCCTGTGTTTTTGTAAATTTGGAGTGCATGATGATCTTTTTAGAGTGCCAATAACAGCTACCTTCAAGAAAACGAGGATATATGAAATAACGATTGTCCACTCTTCCCACATGCAAATTTTCATGATGGTTGTTCATTTCTACTTCCAAGGGGGTAATATGTGGATTTTCTGAACATACAAGCAACATTTTTCAAAGCACAACTTAGCAATTTACATGCAATCCAATACCCTTATTCCGGATCTTCCATCCAAATGGACCCTAAGAGTTTTGTGCGTATCAACTCTCATCATTACCAAGAGCAGAAGTGCCAGATATGACGCTTACTCTCATACATAACTTCCTGGAGTATGTTCATTTAAATTAAGTAAAATTCCGCTTGTTCCTAGATTTTATTTTCTCAAAATCTTTCAGAAATGTGTTTTTTCATATGTTAAGATTTTCTGATTATGTTTTTATGGCTCGTGTTCCCAACCTTATCATCTTCAATATTCTGCGAGCAACCGTCTGAGTCAAGATATTCTGTGCACGAGGCTAAAACTATCTCCGCTGCTCCTTTCCAATGTATATGAACTTTAGAGTCAGCCTGTCATGAAAAGAAAGAAAGTGAAGAAATAACATTATCACGCGATTAATCAGGCAACAAAAGAGAAGCTGCGCACAGAAAAGATAGAAGTAGCTCTATGGAGGTATTATCATGTATGTCTCACAATATAAGTATATTAATCTTGCATTCAAAAATACAATAATAATTTCTAGATGAAAAATGCAGTGGGTTATCACCTTCCACCGGATATAGTCGATTTACTTCAAGCTCATATATAAAGTTATGCACCACGTGAGGCTTTCTAGATGGACTAAAGGCATCTTACTATGCAGATCCCACTGGGTCTTAATCTTGTGATTCCGAAATTGAAAATTTACACCTTTAACTAATCAAGTACCTGTTTTAGTGCAACACCACCTCGCTTTTTCTCTGAGTTGAAAGGGAAAACATGAAGGACTGTAGACTCCAATCTGATAGCATCAAACTTCATCCCCAACTGCGATGCAGAATTTGATAACTTAGAAAATCTTCAAATATTGGAAAACAAGAGTACCGAAGTATGCTAAAGCACATTAAATGAACCTTGAATGCCCATGAAAGTATAGCCTTTTCCGTAGGAGATCCA